TGGGCTCTGTGTTGACAGCTTGGAGCCTGGAGCCTGATTTGTGTTCTGTGTCTCTCTTCCCCTACCCCAATCCCACTCTCTCTCTCAAAAATAAATAAAACATAATAATAATAATAATAATAATAATAATACAGATAAAAGGAACCGGGAATAGGAAGCTAACTATCTGAGACCCAATTCAGGTATCTGTCTTATTACTTTAAGATGTCTGCCTTCTCCACTCTGCCTCGGATATCATTATTTTAGGACAAATATAAGGAGCTCTGTCCCAGAAATTGTATCTTAATGCTTCTATCCAATTTCCTTTCACAAATAAGCTTCCATGTTGTCTTTTGTTTGCCTGAAAATTGCACAAACTGATTTTAATACTTTTTGCCAACAATGGAAACAGCACAAAACAAATGATATTTGATAAATATTAAAACATAGCTTATTAGCTGTCACCCGAGGGTGTTACTATGACTCTCTATGCAAGTGCCAGGATGCACTTGCTAATTCACAGTCCTGTTTGGCTTGTCCTACCTCAGGGCATTTGCACTTGTCATTCTTCTCTGCATGGGTCTTTCCCAGTCCTGAATGACTGCCACTCTCATTTCTCTTTCTCAGAACCATGTTCTCTGAGCACATGTTTCTAAATCAACTTTTGTTTCTAACAATATTTTCAGATTTATTCAGTTCTTTCATCTATAGAACTGCACCTACAGTTTAAGGAGGGGAACCTCCTGTATCTGTTTTTGTATTTTTTTTTTCCTCTAGAAATCTTTGTAAGCTTTCATTCCTATATAATTTATCAATCTTCTGGGTCTTGCATCCATATGTCTGAGACACCACTGCCCCTGGCATTCTGCAGAATGGGTGCTGTGTTAGCAGGCATGAAAACTAAGTAATCTTACTGTCCATTTCCATGACAGCTCCTGGGTGACCAGGTGCATTGTCAGTGAGCAGTGATATTTTTGAAAAGAAGGTTTTGTTTTGTTTTGTTTTGTTTTCTGAGCACTAGGTCTCAACAATGGGCTCAAAATACTCAGCAAACCACATTCTGAACAGATGTGCTGTCATCCAGCCTTTGTTGTTCTGCTGATGGAGCACAGACAGGGTAGATCTATATCATCCCTAGGGGCCCCAGGATTTTCAGGATGGTACACGGGCATCGGCTTAGGCTCAGGAACCAGCTGCATCAGCTCCTAACAAGAATCAGTCTGTCCTTTGAAGATTTGAGGCAGCCACTGACATCTCCCTGGCGTTGAAAGTCCTCGATATCTTCTTCCAGCAGAAGGCTTCCAGTAGATTCTCCAACTTAAAAGCAGTGGTCAGTGTAGCCACCTGCATGAATTGTCTCAGCTGGGTCCTCTGGATAACTGGCTGCAGCTTCTGCATCAGCACTTGATGTCTCACCTTGCAGTTTTATGTTATGGAGACGACTTCTGTCCTTAACTCCCACCAACCATCCTCTACTCACTTCAGACGGCTTCTGAAGCTTCCTCAACTCCCTCAGCCTTCAGAGAATTGAAGAGAGTCAGGGCCTTGCTCTGAATTAGGATTTGCTTTAAGAGAATGTTGATCTATCCAGACCTCAAACCTTCTCCATACTGCAGTAGGTCTGTCTCAGTTCACTTTTTTTTAATGTTTATTTATTGTTGAGATAGAGACCAATCACGAGCAGAGGAGGGGCAGAGAGACACACACACATGCTCTGAGCTGTCAGCACAGAGCCCGACGTGGGGCTGGATCCCACAAACTGTGAGGTCATGACCTGAGCCGAAGTCAGACGTCCAACCGACTGAGCCACCCAGGCGCCCCTTACTTCACATTCTTACCACCCGTTCACTGGAGTAGCACTTTTAATTTCCTTCAAGGACTCTTCTTTTGCGTTCACAGCTCGGCTGACTGTTTGACACAAGAGACCTAGCTTTCATCTGATCTCTGCTTTCAGCATGCCTTCCTCATGAAGCTTATTAATTTTAGCTCTTGATTTAATGTGAGAGACCTGGAACACTTGGGAGGCCAGTGTAGACTTATTAATTGGCCTGATATCAGTATTACCAAACTGTGACACAGAGATAACAACATGAGCAATTGCTTTAAGAAAACTGGCACTGATCAACATTGCCACACACCTTTGTAGAAAGCAGTATCTGTAAAGCACAACAAGACACGGTGTGCCTGCCTGTGGTCAGACTGTAAGGGAAAGAAGTTCTGTATCCTTGTAGGCCCAGGCCTTCAAACCCCCCTATACTTCATCTCCAGAAGGGCAAATGAAGTGCAGAGCTGACCCTTCATCTTCTCCAAGTCAGATTTACTTGACATCTTACTGACTGCCATGCTCTACACGCTTCAAAATATGATAGGCTTCATGAATAAATTATACTTTTAATGTTCATTTTCCCATAAATAGGATGTGTTTCAACTAATTTTGAATAATATGAAAAAGTATATACATCTTAGGACCTGTCTTCATATACCAAAGAATAAATTACTGAGGAAAAACCAGGCAATATATTTTCATTTCAGGCACAGGCGTTTGGTTCCAAAAAGAACACTTTGTCTTTTTTCTTCTTCTTAATGTGTTTGTATCAAATATAAAAATGAACCTAGAGTAACTCTCAGAAGGGAGCATTATTTTTACAGCAGACATTTAAGGTAACCAAGTTCTCATTTCCTGGTTCTCTGACACATTCCCACTTGCCAGCCTCGACACACTGCACCATCCTTGCGGCAGTGAGAAAGGAGTGTCTGCGGTAGGAGACTGTGGACACGGCTTGTGCCAGGCAGAGAGTGGAGCTCTGTTACAGAGTAAAAAGGATACGTTATCAGATCCTGGGTTGTGTAATGCCTCATTTAGGAGAGATCATTTTAGAAATTGTTTTAAAAAAAGAAAACTTTTGGAACAGAATCATAAAGGGTATCATATCTTTTTGGAAAACTTGTGGAAAATACAAGTATTTTAGTTAATTTCTTAAACACTTATTTGAGCAAAGCTTTAGAAATCCTCATGGAGAAGGTAGGAATACTATTAGAGACTTCCCCCTCCCCCCCCCCCCCCCCCCCCCCCCCCCCCCATGGTAACAGAACTTATATAAAATTGCTGAGAGAAGCCAAACCTATTGTGCCTCAGGAGCTGAGAGCAGACTACAGTCAGGTGAGTTGGGTGAGTTGGGACAGGGAGGCAGGCTAGTGGATTTCTGAAGATGGTGGCAGGTCTAAAGATCCTACCTGTAAGGCCAGTGAGAAAACAGGGAAGAAATTAAAGCCGGAGAGTGTTTATGATAAACTTGTGTTTGTAAGTGATGTCAGCCTCACCCAGCAGCCTCTGGGGAGGGACGTGGTTCCTGGAGGTTGAGCTCTATAAACACTCTTGAACACCCAGGTTTGGAGTTTGGAGACCAACCTCTGGGCTGGTGAGAGCTTCCATCTGCTGCCACCTCCATGGGGATGGCGGGACCTTGCACTCTGGGGGGACCCTTCTGGACCTCACCCCGTGTACCTCTTCCTCTGGCTGTTCATCCTTAAAATAAACCAGTAAAACCAAGTAAAGTGTTATCCTAAATTCAGGAGTCAGTCTAGAAAATTACCAAACCTAATTTGAGCGGTTGTGGGAACCCTAGACTCTCTGGTGCTCTCAGCAGAAATGTGGACAGCCTGGGCACTACATTTGTGGCTGGCATCGGAAGTAGAGGAAGTCCCATGGGGCTAAGACTTTGATCTTGCGGGGTCTGATGCTGACTCCAGGATGATGGTGTCAGAATTGAACTGAATCCTTGGACACTCAGGCAGTGTCAGGGAATTAGTTGTTGGTGTGAAGAAAACTCCTCAAACAAATATTTAGATTTTGAGAAATCTATGACTGTTGTGTTTTATAGGGTGTTGGTCATTTAGAGGGTTAAAGAAATGGACGTAAAAGTAAGGTAAGGCAGAACTAACAATATATGTTTTTTTAATCTCTTATTATTGAGCACGAGCCACGCAACCAGGCCTTGGGATAGTTCCTGCGTATGCAGTTGGTATAAAACTGCATTAAAAAATTTTTTTTTTCCTGAGAGAGAGAGAGAGAGAGAGAGAGAGAGCGTGAGCAAGGGAGGGTTAGAGAGAGAAGGAGACACAGACTCTGAAGCAGGCTCCAAGCTCTGAGCTAGCTGTCAGCACAGAACCCGATCGGGGCTCAAACCCACAAACTGTGAGATCATGACCTGAGCCAGAATCGAGCGCTTAACTGACTGAGCCACCCAGGTGCCCCTTTCTTAATATTTTTTAATGTTTTATTTATTTTTGAGAGAGAGATAGAGACAGTGTGAGCGGGGAAGGGTCAGAGAGAGACGGAGACACAGAATCAGAAGACAGGCTCCAGGCTCTGAGCTGGCTGTCAGCACAGAGCCTACGCGGGGCTGGAACCTATGAACCATGACATCATGACCTGAGCTGAAGTCAGACGCTTAGCCGACTGAGCCACCCAGGCGCCCCTAAAACTGCATTTTTTTTTCCTCGATGCATGCAGAAAGGATACATGGGGATTGAGGTAGGCAGTTAAAGGGCTGGAATCAGGGGTTGATAGACTTCAAGTGGTGTCAGTGGAATGTAGGTCTCCAGGTGTGGAGAGCGTGGGCATGGGGAATGATTCTGTGGGCAAACTGAAAGACAGAGGCTGTGGTTGCTGGAGGGATCTAGGATTCTTCATCGGACGGGGGGCAATCCTGGTAAGACCTGGCAGGAGGCTGTACCCCTTAAGAGGACCATGTTTAGAAATCTGCGTTTGGGAAACAACAGAATTGAAATACTACCTGTGTCATTCCTTAGCCATGTAATTTTCTCCTATTTCTAAAGCCTTTTTTTTTTTTTAAATATTTTTATTTATTTCTAGGAGAGAGAGAGGGAGACAGCGTGAGCAGGGGAGGGTCAGAGAGAGAGGGAGATAGAGACTCTGAAATAGGTTCCAGGCTCTGCAGTCAGCACAGAGCCCGACGTGGGGATCGAACCCACGAACTGCGAGATCATGACCTAAGCGAAAGTCGGACACTTAACCGACTAAGCCACCCAGGCGCCCCTCCTATTTCTAAAGCTTTCTGAAACTGTCATTCGTGTATATAATTCTGGGCTGCAGTAATAAAATACCACAGACTTGGTGGCTTCAGCAACCCACATTTGTTTTTCACAGTTCTGGAGCCTGGAACTCCCAGGACCAAGGTGTCAGCAGACTCAGTACTCACTGATGGACCGGTTCCTGGCTTGCAGGAGCCTGCCTTCTCAATGTGTCCCAACATGGTAGAGACAGAGAGAGAGCTGTGGTCTGTTCCTCTTAGAATGATTCCAGTCCTTTCACGGGGGACCTCTTCTCATGACCTCATCTAAACCTAATTACCTCCCAAATGCCCCCCCTCTGCATACCATCATATAGGGAATTAGGGCTTTGACATATGGATTTGGGTGGGGGTGGAGGGGACACAGGCATTCAGTCCATAACAGTGACTGTACTGAGATCAGCAGAGTCTTTGTGAGGATTAACTCAGTGAATGTTTTTAAGTTTCCAAGCAGAGTCCTGTTTATTAAACTTTGATTTTGTCTTCTTATTTTCTGGACGCTAGGTGTAAGGAGGTGAGTTACATCTACTACTTTTGGTGATGTAATGTCATTTTTTCATGGAGTACATTTAGGTACCAACAAAATTTTGGTAAGAACTCAAAGTTTACCAGTATGTTTCAGTATAAGATTTATGAAACGCTATGGTGTCATTTGTGGTAATGACTAATATAGGACAATAATCCAGTTACAACTTTACGAAAATGTCAGATAGAACAGATCTATTTCCTTGCAAAACTTCCGCACTATACATTTTCTAAGTCAGGGACTTTTAGGGTGGGGGATCAGGGAGGGAATTAAATAACCCTATGAAAAAGTTGCTAGTTAACGTAAAATAGTAATTTTCATTTCCTTGTCTGAAAATAAAAAAGAACATTCCTATTTTATTGACCACCAACAGTAGCCAAAGCCTTGTCACTTCTGATCCAAGCGGAAGTGAGAGCTCCACCACCTCTCTCAGGGCACGTGGTGTGTTCTTGTAGGGGGAGCTGGGGGGTTGCATGCAGGCACATCAGGGATTCGTGATCGGGGGTCTGGGAATTGTGCGTAAGACTGGAGTCTCTTGGCTTCTCTCTCCTTGCCCAGCTTTTCCTGCATATGGTTGGCACTCTCTGAGTGGAAATCCAGAGGAAGAGACGCGGTGGCCGAACCCTTGATGATGCAACTGCAGGTGAGTGGATATGTGATCCTTCTCCCGAATGAAGCCTCTGTTGCTTGTGGCTGGGAAGGCTTCTCTTGGCCTGAGTCTTCTAAGTGCATCCAGCCAGTATTCAAGGATCTGGGCTCTACTTCATTGCTCCCAGGACGCACGGATGCTATTTTGGTAGGTCAGGGATGGATCGGGAAGTAATCTCCTTCCCCTTATTTACAGCAGTGCATCTCATTCTCCATTAAAAATGTCCTTGCAGGAAAGAAATGTGCAGAGTTTTCTTTCCTTATCCGTTGTATGGACTTGGTTGGGAAATTATTTACCCATGGGCCTTAGTAGTTGGTGCAGTGGGCCTAGCACGTGGTCCCAGGTGCTAGAGATGAGCAGGACCAGCAGTTTACAGTCCACTGAGGGGGCAGGCATTCCAGCCAATTAGCTCTACAGTTTTCCAGAGAACACAAGAAACATTTGTGTATGAGAAGAAATCAGTATCATTTATTTCCCCCTTAGTTTTAAGCTTACTAAATGTTTGGAAACATATAGTTGACTAATTTGGAAACTCCCAAAGGTGACTAAATCCTCTTTACTACCCTTATCCCATTTCACCCACTTTTCCTCTTTGTAAGTGAAGTTTGATAAAATTGGAAATCTGAAAACAATGCTTAGGGAATATTTTTTTTCTAATTAACTCTGCATTTGGCAGAATGTACGTAGAAATTAGAGTACAACTTAGAACCCTGTTGCAATTTGGTAGGACTAATAGATGCTAGAATTAATCAAGAGGATTCTGTTGCCTTTGAACCAGAAAACAGGATTAACATATGGAGGATTGATGCAGTGATCATTGGTGTTAAGAATGGAGAGCTCACTGCAGGAGAGATTACTGTGGGGCTATCCTTCCAACTTGCCATCTCAGCCCCTAACCGGACCGCAGGACCTGTCTGCTCTGATATCTTATAAAGAACACGTGAGTTTTTAGATGAGAGGTGTCACTTACTGACCCCAAGCTTTGCATGAAAGTTGTTCATCCTACAGAATGCTGGGCATTGCTTCATAGTTCTCTACTTTTGATATTAGTATACCTCTCATTTGTATATATGAAGTGTTTGCTGTAAAAGAAGCATCTGCACATTGGACGTAAAAGAAGCATACTGCACACTCAGTACCACTATTTTTTAAAGTAATTTCTACAGCAATCATGGGGCTCAAACTCATGATCCTGAGGCCAAGAGTCACCTGCCCTTCCAACTGAACCAGCCAGGTGCTTCTCAATACTACTGTTTAACCTAGGTTATAATTGCCGACCAGGAAATCAAAATTGCCAAGTTACTTCATTTTGAGGTTCCATTGTGATGAAATAATTGTGTATGTATTTCTTTATGAATGTATCTGAAAAGCAAAAGGCAGATCTGCACGGAGAACTTTAGATTTGAATCACATATGAAATTTGAGGTTTCTATACATACAGTTCCCTCTGTGTTATTACTGTCTTGTTGACAGTTGTCCCCTAGGGATTGTTCAGCCTGGCCCTCCTTATACAGTGTCTGATATTTTAGGAATCTGTGACCTACAAAGATATAGCTGTAGACTTTACCCAGGAAGAATGGGCCCTGATGGACATATCTCAGAGAACGCTGTACAGAGATGTGATGCTGGAGAACATTAGTCATCTGGTCTCTGTGGGTGAGTCTGTCACCATCCATTCATTCATCCATCCTTACATCCATCTTTTTATTTATTAACCTTGTTCCAGGATAGCTTCCACATATTCTAATACAGCTGTCTGCTCTAACTCATATTCTTTTGTAGCATTTCCAACTACTAGATAAATTTGTATCCTTCTTTCATCATGTGCGTTACATGATAATTTGAATATAGTCTTGGACACAAGTGTGTATCTACTGTACGTTTTCCAAGACCCAGAACAATGCTGGGAATAGAGTGAATATTTTTTGAATTAATAAATAAACATCCTGAATATTTTCTGTCCTGGGCAGTATGGTGAGGCGTAAGCATACTAGAAAATATAACATCTTGTATCATTTTCTATATAAATCTCCACAGAATATTTTGGTGAAGCTTATGTTCATTGTATTCCTTTGAAAGTAATGTTCACCCCTTGTGAGAACATTTACTTCCTTCCGGATGTAAACACTAAGCCTCTTGCACTCTCGCAGCTTGGGCAAGAACATCAGCAATTAGAGATCTTACTGTATATTGGTGCAGTGTTAGGATGAGAACGTTTAACCATGTTTTTAGTGTTCAAGGCGTTATTCTCTGGGCTGTTCTTCAAAGCCTAGATTGTTTTTCCTCAGTTGCCTGTACAGTAGAATATCAGGCACAGTTCTCAGCAAGAAATTGCAAATTCACATACCATTCTCCATTGATATAGGGTGTCATTTCTTCAGATCAGATGTGATCTCCCAGTCAGAACACAGAGGGGAGCTGTGGAGGGAAGAAAGAGGACCTCCCCAAGGCTGGAGTCCAGGTGAGCTGCAGACATGTACTCAGTGTGAGAAGAATAGTGAGTAAGCAGGGTCTTACTGATGTCCGTGCAGATTTCCTTGAGTGAACGACAGCTTCAGGAACTGTAAGTGGCCAGTCAGATAACATTCCTCAGATTGTGTCATTATTTGGCCCATGTCCGTTTCTCTTCATGTACCTGTACTTACATTTGACCTCAGAAAAGCAATGTTCTGTCCTCGTTGAAGGTCAGATTTCACATTGTGGTCTTTGTCATGATTTCTGGTCTCTTTTAGGATTTCCACTCTGATATTCTCTACAACAGCCCATCATTATATTATTTTTTCTTTAACTTAAACATGGAGTTTTGTTCTAATGATATTATTCTAAAATGTATGTCTTCACCAGTATTTTCCTCAATTTCACATCATTTGGTCATGTGTGCTTACCTGGTCTCGTGAGCTTTTCAACACTTTAATTCCCTACTCAAGGTGTTCTTAGGTTTATTTCTTTTTTTTTTCTTCAATTATTTTAGGTACGAAAAATAGCCATAATAAGCAAGAAATAATACCTATGCAAGATATCTGCACGAAGGACCCACCTAACTGCTGGACAGTAGTAAGTGTCATGAAGACAAACCTTGCCTATCCGTGTTCAAGGCCTGGGAAGAGCCTAAGTCATCAATTGAGGAGAATCACATAACAGTTGTTAGAGTTTGCTATAAGTACCTTCTCACAGAATGTGATTGAAAATTTAAATCTGGGGAAGATACTAGCTTGGATTTGAGCTATAACTGTTCTGATAAATGGATAATTTCATAAGTATGGTTTATTGGCATGACATATAATGAAATCTTCTAAAACAGTCAGCCCTCCAGTAAAGATGCTTCTAAGTGTAAATATGTTTGTGCATGCTGGAGATGAACACCCCATGTACATGTAAGTGATCTAGGAAAGGTTTTATTTGGAAGGGTCATCCTGGAATTCATAGGTAGAGAACAGGATGCATAGATGTTCAGGAGAAGTCCTGTAACAGTCTTCTATCTCTTTCCCAAAAGCAGAGATATCACCCAAGAGAAGACCTCTCTGTATATAGTGGGTATGATGAAGTTTTCACTCGCGTCTACACAATGACTCAGTATGTCTTAAGTCACACTGGACAGAAACTGTATAAATGCAATGAATGTGGAAAACACTTCACCCGAAATGCCAACCTTCATACCCATAAAATAAGTCACACAGGAGAGAATCCATTTGCTTGTAATCAGTTTGGGAGGCTCTTCAGGTATTTTTCTTCTTTAACTAGACATAACCGAATTCATACTGGAGAGAAGCCTTATGAATGTCATCTATGTGGGAAAGCATTTGTTCGTAGTTCCCTGAAACAACATCAGAGAACTCACACTGGAGAGAAACCATATTCCTGTCAACTATGTGGAAAAGGCTTCGTGACAAAGTCTAATCTTCGAGAACATGAGAGAACTCACAGTGGAGAAAAACCATATAAATGTCATCTATGTGGAAAAGCCTTTGTTCAAAGTTCTTGTCTTAGAAAACATGAGAGAATTCACACTGGAGAGAAGCCATATATATGTCAAATATGTGGAAAAGCCTTTGTTCAAAGCTCTTGTCTTAGAAAACATGAGAAAATTCACACTGGTGAGAAACCATATAAATGTCATCTGTGTGGAAAAGCTTTTGTTACAAACTCTGATCTTAGAAAACATGAGATAACTCACACCGGAGGGGAATCATATATGGGTCATCTGTACGGAAAAGCCTTTGTTCAATGCGCTTCTCTTAGAACACAGGAGAAAACTCACACTGGCGAGAAACCATATACATGTCATCAGTGTGGAACAATCTTTGTTACAAGCTCTGATCTTAGAAAACATGAGAAAACTCACACTGATGGGGAATCCTATACATGTTGTCTATGTGGCAAAGCCTTTGTTCAATGCTCTTGTCTTAGAAAACATGAGAACACTCATACTGCCGAGAAACCATATGCATGTCATCAGTGTGGAAAAGCCTTTGTTACAAGCTCTAATCTTCGAAAACATGAGAAAACTCACACTGGAGAAAAACCATATACATGTCATCTATGTGGAAAAGCCTTTACTCAAAGCTCTAATCTTCGAGAACATGAGAGAACTCACACTGGTGAGAAACCATATATATGCCATCTATGTGGAAAAGCCTTTGTTCAAAGCTCTTGTCTTAGAAAACACGAGAAAACTCACACTGGCGAGAAACCATATACATGTCACTTATGTGGAAAAGGCTTCGTTACAAGGTCTAATCTTCGACAACATGAGAAAATTCACACGGGAGAGAAACCATATAAGTGTCATCTATGTGGAAAAGCCTTCCTTCAAAGCTGTAATCTTCGAGAACATGAGAGAACTCACAGTGGAGAGAAACCATATACATGTCATCTCTGTGGAAAAGACTTTGTTCAAAGCTCTTATCTTCGAGAACATGAGAGAACTCACACTGGTGAGGAACCTTATACTTGTCATCTATGTGGAAAAGCCTTTGTTACAAGCTCTAATCTTAGAAAACACGAGAAAACTCACACTGGTGAGAAACCATATACATGTGATCTGTGTGGAAAAGGCTTCGTTATAAGGTCCAGTCTTCGAGAACACGAAAGAATTCACACTGGAGAGAAACCATATACATGTCATCTATGTGGAAAAGCCTTTCTTCAAAACTCTTATCTTCGAGAACATGAGAGAACTCATACTGGTGAGAAACCATATAAATGTCATCTATGTGGAAAAGCCTTTGTTCGAAGGTCTTGTCTTAGAAGACACGAGAAAACTCACACTGGAGAGAAACCATATACGTGTCATCAGTGCGGAAAAGCCTTTGTTACAAGCTCTCATCTTAGAAAACACGAGAAAACTCACACTGGAGAGAAACCATATACATGTCATCTATGTGGAAAAGCCTTTGTTATAAGATCTGATCTTAGAGACCATGAGGGAACTCACACTGGAGAGGAACAATATATATGTCATCTGTGTGGAAAAACCTTTGTTACAAGCTCTGATCTTAGAGACCACGAGGGAACTCACACTGAAGAGAAACCATATACATGTCTTCCATGTGGAAAAGCCTTTGTTACAAACTCTGATCTCAGAGACCATGAGGAAACTCACCCTAATTCTAGTGAATGAACATCAAAGTGCCTTCAGCCACAGCGCTAATGCGAAACCAGCCAGAGGACTCAGGTGGGGGAAGTTCCATGGCCATATTCATTATGGAAATGCCTTCATTTTTAACTTCTCAACATGAGTGAACTGCATTTGGAGGAACCCTATATTTGTAATCAAAGAGGAAGAGACATTAACTGGCCTCTGGTCTTAGGGTGCACAAGAAGATCAAGTCTGAATAATAATCTAATGTTCTTAACTGGGAAATTACACAGGAAAATCTTTATATAAGGAGGTCACTCTAGGAGAATAATAGAAAAGTTAATGCTGGAGAACTTATTCATTGTTATATGCATGGAAAAAAAATGTTGACTAGTAGAAAAACTATTGTAGACATGTGAAGTTTCACACTCTATGTAATAGTGAATGAATGGAAGTCTTCAGAGATTTATAATTCCTTAGTTAACCTGTAGTTTCTCACACTGTATATATACCATTGCTAAAATAAGATGAAAGGTTAGACTTTGAATTAGAAATCCCTGATTAGGAAAAACATTTATCAAGAGTGTCTTAACACACAGTTTAGACATTAATTTATAATTTTGCCTAATGGCCTATTATAAAAATATAAGATAGATATGTGGGATTGTGACATCATCTGGAATTCTAAATTCAGAATTTTGTAACAGTGATTTTTATTCTTTCAATTGGAGTAGTTCTTAGAATTACATATGAAGCAAAGTTGTTGCTGAAAAATCCAGTATGTTGGTCAGGACCTATTTTTCATTCAGCAGTAGTAATTATGATGATTGGATTCAACTAGAAAGTATCTTTGAATATTAACATGAAAAACAATACAAGATGATGCATCATTTCTACATATTGTTAACCATGTGTGTAGGTCGTAATGATGAATTAAAGATTGTTACATAGAGAGTTTGTGAGTAAATTCTATATAAATTTTCACTTTAAAATGCCAATATTGAGACAATGAGGGTATTACATAACAAGGGGGTCCATTCAACAGGAGGACATAAGATCTGTAAGTCTTCACTCAGCATAGGAGCACCTAGGTGTATAAAACAAATATGAACAGATGTAAAGGGAGAGGCAGGTATGCAATAGAAGGGGGACGTTAATACACACTTTGATCAACGAATGAATCATTCAGACAAAATCAGAAAACTCAACCGTCAGTGACACATTAGATGAGATGGCCTTCACAGAGGCACACCACACACTCCATCCAAAAGCAGCAGAATAACACTCTTCGCGAGTGCACATGAGGCATTGTCCAGAATTGGTCATAGCATGGTTAGTACCAATGGGTAATTTTTTTCTCGTTTATCCAACCCATGTAATTGTCCCTCTGCCTATTTAAAAAAAAAACCCTGCTTTCACCCCACAGATGGGACACTTTGCCGGTTACTGCTGGAATCAGTGCTCCGCAAACTGCAATTCTATAATCCCAAATAAACACTCCTCTCCCTCTCCTTGTAGCTATTGTTTTCAGGTTGGCAGAGGGGACAAGAAGTGTTTCTTTTCCTTTCTTGGCCAGGCACTGCAGAGCGAGATCTAAGAGAGCTGACTTTGGAAGGAAGTCTTACCTTTTCTGTTTCTCCCAGTTTTTAGGATCCCATCCCCAGCTCCAGAATGAGTGTGCTCACTCTGCCACTGCCTCAGAAGGTGCCATCATCGACCACCAAACTACTGAAGAAAAATAATTGTTAAAATAAATATTTTAGTATTTGTTTATTTTTGAGAGAGGGAGGTAATCCGGGCCGGCCTTGGGCTGTCCTCACAAAGCCCCTTGAACTTGAACCCGTTAACCATGAGATCAGGACCTGAGGCAAATTCAGATGCTCAAGACTGAGCTATCCAGGTGCCCCGAAGAAAAAATAATTTTCCTCTAACCCTTCTAGGTTCTTGGCTGTGACACCCCACCTGAGCTGGGTTGCCAGGCAACACTAAATGGGGAGCTCTCGGTCTCTGTCCCATGGTGCGCAAAGCTGCCCTTTCCCAGGCAAGAGGGGCACGTGCGCATTCCGCTGGCGGCCAGCGGGCTCTGGACAGTGACCACACTGGACATGCTCACTGAAGGTTGAGGGCTGTGCCCAGCATCCTGGAGGCTCCTCAGTCAGGGGGCGCAGACTTGCTCCTGGGCGTCTCCGTATGGATCACTCCACCCTCACCGGTGCCTCTTTAGGAACACTCCTTTCTCCACACCCACGGCTCAAAGCGGGAAGTGGGTGGGGGACCTGGGGGCCGGGGACGTGGGCATGCAAAGGACAGCCGCCGCGGGAGTCTGCGAGGTCAAAGTGGAATTTTGGGGGCATTCCCGGTGGGGCAGGTCCAGATGCAACCCAGCCTCCCACAGAGACAACTTTCCCTGAGAGATGGATGCGTTCCTTGCTAGTAAACTCTCCTTTTAATCTCCTCTCTTTGGCTTTAAAAACCTTTTCCTGTTTCGCCCAGAGAAGCCCCCTCTCCTTGCTGGATGCGATGACCCCCCCCCCCAACACACACAAACCGTTTAATAAAGTCAATTAGATCTTTAAATCGACGGGATTGAATGCAGTTTTTTAGTACATCAAGGGGAAATAGGGCCCCTACATACATGCTTCTACTGGCTTTTAATATTTAATTTCTTTATAACTCTGAAGTAGCTGAAAAAACAGGTGTACTAACACATTTGAAATTCCAAAATTTTATTTATACCCAAAATAGAAGTATTTCCAATATCTTTCCTTTTTTCCAATTTTATAAAGTGTATTCACAAGTTCTTTGAAAGTTTTAAGTACATCTAACCCGATTTCAAAGTCACTTTCTCATTTGTTTCAAGCAGGGGGACAGGCCTTCTAATAGCACACAACTTCATACATTGTCAATATCTCCTTTGTTCAAAATAACGTATCACAGATAATTTGCATTGTTTTGATTTCAGCAGTGTGCACTGCCTCTTTTGAGATTATGTATATTAGTACTTGGCAAAATGTTAATTTCTGAGGAAATGGTTCCAGTAGCATTCAATCTCAGTGCCCTGTGTGAGAAGGAAAACTGGTAAACACAAATAAAAAGGGCAAGCCCAATGTCCAAGGCTGGATATTCCCCTTGAATGCTTTTGGCTTCTATAATCTCGCTTGCCTCTTGCATCAGCCAGAAACCAGGAACCAGAATCTTTAATCCTGCTCAACCCGCAAGCACATAGGTATGAATGATCAGTAAAACCAAAGCAGGATGCTCAGCCTTTGGAGGTGACTCTGCTAGGCAGGCACTGATGTGAAATCAACACTTTTCTGAGTCCCTGAGTGCATGCCGCTTGTCTCTTCCTGGGCACCGAATATTTGCTGTAACGTGTATCTATGTGTTTACAGGTAGTTTTTAGAACAAAAATGAGAATATCCCATGTGCTTGCTGAATTAGAAAAAAATGTATTTATACCTTGTATCCTATTTTAGAAGGCTATTCAATTTATAGAAAAGTTTTACTTTTTTTTTTTTACAAATAGTTTATTGTCAAATTAGTTTCCACATAACACCCAGTGCTCATCCCCACAAGTGTCCTCCTCCATGCCCATCCCCCCTCTCCCCCACATCCATCAGTCCTCAGTTTTTGTCAGCATTCAAGAGTCTCTCATGGTTTGCCTCTCTCCCTTTCCCCCACCATTTCCCCCCTTCTTCTCCCGGTTGGTCCTCTGTTAAGTTCCTCCTAGTCCTCCTATACGTGCACACATATGATATTTGTCCTTCTCTGCCTGACTTATTTCGCTCAGCATAACACCCTCAAGGTCCATCCATGTTGCTACACATGGCCAGATTTCATTCTTTCTCATTGCCATGTAGTATTCCATGGTATAGATAAACCACATCTTCTTGATCCATTCATCTGTTGATGGACACTTAGGCTTAGAAAAGAAGTTTTAAATACTTGAAATTGAGCTGAACACAGATTTGGCACAATGATTTTGGGAAGGAGACATAATAACTTCTCCCTTTATCTACAGTGGCCATTATTGTCCGTTATTGTATCTCTGGCCAAGAGCAGGTTTATATCAGTATCATGTTGCTAATTAATAGTTACATAACCTAGAATGTACCCATTTTCTTAAAAAGCAAAATGATGTAATACAAGTTCATTGCAAGGTAAAAGGTGAACAACTGGGAAAACCTACTGCATGTCATCCTCTACATGTATAAATGTGTTTTTTTCATAAAGAGTAAGCCAGGTCTCTGTAAAACGTTATTTAATCCTATATCATATTTTATTTAACATGATGGCTGATATTCTGCATTTAATTTTCCCTCATGTAAATTATTTTAGGTAACTAATTTAAGTTTACATTGATCAAGACGAAAACACATGACAACCCACATCCTAACATGGCTTTGCATTTCTTACCTTGCAAGAAACTGTAAAGCTGAAAAAAAAAAAAATCGGCACAGGGATGTCTAAGTTTAATGCTAATTTCCACTGCACCTGCATTCAGTTTTCTTATCTAGACTCTGGGAGACTGAGTTGTACAGAATGGGTGAGTTACCCTGAACAAACACCCTACAAATGTCCCCCAGTTAAGGTGGGACATGTAGGACATTCCTCAGGTACTGGTGACAGCCTGAGAACAGAGGCAGGGAGAAAACAAATCGTCAGCTGATATGGAAAACAAAGGGAAAGGGAAAGGCAGATAACATTAAATCTCCTTCTTATAACTTGCAGCCCATTGACAAATACTTGAGATCTGCAGAGTATGATATTCTTCCAGTAACTATGCTTTGCTAGAGGCAAAAAACAATCTTAGCTTGACAATAATAGCCAGGGCTCCTGGATCCTGTGTCTTTAACATGAAAATCCCTTTGGAAACTTCCTTTGTCTGTATATTCTCTCCCCCACTTAAAAGTATATAACAGATCACAACCTACTGCAACTCTTTCTGCCCAGGAGTCCTGTCCCTGTGCTTTTTAATAAAGACACTTTATTTTGCACAAAAAAGTCTCAAGAATTCCTTCCCAGACCCCAGACCCCACATCAAGTCACATCAATTACAGTCATACTGCACATGAAACTCCACTAGAGTTTGTCTTTTTTTTTTTTTTTTTTTTTAAAGAGAGAGCGTGAACAAGGGAGAGGGGCAGATGGAGAATCTTAAGGAGGCTCCACACTCAGCCAGGACCCCACGCAGGGCTCCATCCCATGACCCTGGCACCATGACCTGAGCCAAAATCAGGAGCCAGATGCTCAACCAACTGAGCCACCCAGGCACCCAGTTTGTAACCATCTTAATGATTTACAAGAAAAACACCATGTTAATAATAGACCTCCAGGAACCTCTACACTCAATTTCCTGGAGCCCTGATGTTACCCTCCCTTCTATAGGATAGAAAACCTTTTATTAGTCAGTCTCTATGATCTCAATGTAACACTTTCTGTCCATGGGTCCTGTCCCTGTGTTTTAATAAAACCACCTTTTTTTGCACCAAAAATGTCTCAAGAATTCTTTCTTGGCCGTCAACTTGAAAAGAATTCATTTCCACATCGGTGCCTACCTGCTGGTGTCTCTGCAGAATTTTCTACGTACGTGCCAGAACCTGGGATGCCATCCCAAGTCATCCTCTAGTGGCTGGGGAACACTGAGAGGATGCCCAGGGACCAACCCCATGGCCCATCAACAGCCCCAAAGAACACAAACCCAGAAGTCCTGGCTGGCAGGAAGTGCAGCAAGGCAGTCAGCACTGAGACAAGGCCGTGGCCTGATGTTTGGTGGAGGCAGGGCTTTGGAGAGAGGCAGAAGTGGATCCTAAGTCCAGCTTCCCTGGAAAACACGTGCATGAACACATTTATATAAACCAAAGTAAGAACTGTCTCCAAATGACAGATTGGTCTCAGATGAAGTTTCATGCCCTTTCCTATTTAGTGAATTTCTATTTTCAGCATTTAGGAAAAATGAACACATATAAATAGTAATCTAATCTTTTTAGAAGAGAGAAGAAAAATGAATTTTGCTCCTAGCTTTACAGCAAACACTCGGCGCCCAGGAAGAGACAAGTGGCACATACTCAGGGAATCAGAAGACTGTTTATTTTGCACCGGTGCCAGCCAAGTGGAGTCATCTTCAAAAGCTGAGCAGCCAGCTCATTTTTACTGATCTTTTATACACATGTGCTTCTGGGTGGAGTGGAATAGCGCAGTCAGTCTTTCGGCTCCTGGCTGTTGGCTCATGTAAAGGGCAAGCAAAATTACAGAAGCCAAAAGCATGCGAGGGGAGTATCCAGCCTCAGACATCTAGCTGGCCTTTTGGTTTGTTTTGTTTTGTTTTGTTTTGTTTTTTTTAATTTGCTCTGGTTTACCAGCTTTCCTTCTCATTCCCCTGTCTTGATTCTCAAGCTGCCATGGCAGACTTAGAGAAAATCAGTTTGTAGGGGTCAGGGAATCCTTTGCTGCCACAGGAGGAGGAGCAAAGACCATTCTGGCTTCTTCCTGCTGGACAGGAACGCCAAAGGGAAGCATGTGACAGGGTTCTTCGCCATCCAAAGGAGAGCCGCGACAGCTAGAATGGTCCAACTGGAGCATCATCTAGAGTTTTATAGCTTCTAGACGAGAGGAAACAAATCTGGTTAACATATTAAGAATACAAGGACCAAACCTGACGGGGCGCCTGGGTGGCTTAGTCGGTTAAGCATCCGACTTTCGCTCAGGTCATGATCTCGCGGTTCGTGGGTTCGAGCCCCGCGTCGGGCTCTGTGCTGACTGCCAGCTCGGAGCCTGGAGCCTGTTTCAGTCTGTGACTCCCTCTCTCTCTGACCCTCCCCTGCTCACGCTGTCTCTCTCTCCTAGAAATAAATAAAACATTTAAAAAAAAAAAAAAAAAAGGACCAAACCTGAGAGCTATGAAAAACACGAGAGGACCAGCTAAAGGGAGGAGACAGGATGCCCAGTTTCATATGTTGCTTGCTCCAAGAGTTTCATCAGTCTGCTAATTCCTGCCTCCATGCGTTGATTCACTTCCTTAGCTGCTGCACTATCCCTAATTGGTTGACATAGAAGCAACATTCTTCATTTACGAAGAGACACAGTCCTCCCCTTTCAGCAGTTTGCAGTTCCAGCCTTCTGTTTTGCTAGACTACCACTGCTAGGGAGTCTACTGGTCTTGTAAAACCACCAGAGATTTGGTAACCCGTTCTATGTCATCAGTTAGGTCCTTGGATAATTTATGACAATGTGGTCGAGGAGACTATTCCTCCTATTCCAGTGCCCACCCCTGCCATTACTCCTAAGGCAATCAGCAAGGGTATGACTTGAATGGCTCTTTTTGATTGAGTATGTGCTGCCAAGGTTATTATAAGAGACTTATTGTTGGGAACAATGTTTATCTGAGGAGGAAGGCCAGGTACAGATGCCCATCCAATCGGCCAGTAGACATAGGTAGGCATGTGTCCTACATACAAAGAGAAGCTCTGGAAGGGGTCGACACCAGGGTTGGGTTGTAGGAAGATGAATGAGTTCCTGACTGTCAAGAGTCTGGTTTCACTGGCCAATGGTCAGATTGCTGACTGGCTCTGTTCCCATTTTGTTTGCCAGGTACCTGGAAGCCATTTGGGACAGTTCGACTTCAGTTAGTACAGGTCTCACCATATGGGGGGTCTGGGTCTTCAGTTAACAGGGTAGCATTTACAGTTGCTTGTGTTATCGGAGTAGCTGCATAATAGTGGGGTCCTGTGGACAAGCAGAGACAGAAAGCTCTGGCCAGGCTAGGGTTGATATCATTGAGGAGGCGATGAGCTGCATTTAACATTAGGTCCAGATGGGGACCTAAGACAAGTGGTCTACCTGATTTATGTTCTGCCAGAGGTTGAAGGGTTAGATCAGAAGTGACCCAACAGGCATGAGGAACATCAGGGCAGGCCAGATCAGGAAGCCCCCAGTAATGTTTCATTTTCATTTTTTCTGTCCAATAAGTGTTTCCATTTCTGGTTCAGGGAGTGACTCTCCTGGTATCATAACATCTATTTGGCATGCGAGCATACATAGTGGCACAGGGGCATGGTAGTAAGTGCTGTTTTACCTATGTGGACCAGAGGAGTAGGGGAAGGAATTGGTATAAGAGGGAGGGGTTGGAGCAAGAGTCAGAAAGGGGACCGGAGAAAGGAATGGTCTCTTTAAGAGGTGAGTCGGGTAGCAGGCAGTGCAACCTTGTGTGCCTGTAACATAAGTTTGTCCCTCATGAAGACAGTAGATGGGGTCCAGCGGTTGAGAGCACAGAGTGGCTCTTCGGACCTTGGGGGGCAAGCGGGGAATGATAAATCACATATTTGCATGGAAGGAGTGAGAAAAGTCCTTTTGAGGAGGTTAGGAACAGGAATATGTGCAACATGGACAGGAGACAGGGCGATCCCATCTGGGGTAGAAGACGGTTAGAAAGGCAGAGAACAATATTCAGAGACGAACATCAATCACAACTTAGATCATATAAGTCTAAGGAGAATAAGGCATCCTGACATTAGCAAGTAGAGGGAGGCTAACAAGAGTTTGTGACTGAGACGCCAATCTGCAGAAGAATATTGGGTAAGGCCTACAGCGAACAGTGTAACAACAAGTATGGAAAGAGAAATACGTAGGGGATGACAATGAAATTCGAGAGAACAATTTGCTACAGTTCATTTAAGTCATCTGGTGATTTCCTCAAGCTTCTGGATACAGAGAGTTCTCAGGTGTTGGTTGCAGGCCGCTTATTATCTGCTCTCTTTTTAGGGGTGATCTGTAGAGGACTATTCTGGTTAGCAGTTATTTTCCATTCCAAGTGGTTGCCAGGTGACAGATGGGCTGGAATGGTGGATCCAGGCAGTAGGTCCTGCAACCTTGAGGGCTGTGGGTGTGGTTAGCACAACTAAATAGGGTCCTTTCCAGGTAGGTTTGAGTGGTTCTTTTTTCCAGTCTTTAATCCAAAGCTGATCCCCAAGTTTGTGGGCTTGTACACCTATTCCCAGAGAAATGGGCATCCTGTCTGTCACCCATCTATGTATCTCAAATACAGTTTTCTCTAATCCTTATAGTTGTTTTTATATTCCTAAATTCTGTAGCTCTGTCAGGTCTCCCCTGAATTTGACTAGCGGAGGGGGCCTTTCATATAGGATCTCAAATGGGGATAATACTATTTTTGTCTGGGGTGTACAACATACCCAGAGAAGAGCTAGGGGTAGTGTATCTGGCAAGGACAAGTTAGTTTCCTGACATAGTTTTGCCATGGCTGACTTAAGGGTCTGGTTCATACGTTCCACTTTCCCTGAATTCTGGGGTCAATAGGCTGCGTGTAAGTTCCATTGGATGCCTAGGGCTTTGGCTTCTTGTTGAACCACAAAAGCTGGGCCATTGTCTGAGCCTATGGTTAATGGCATTCCATGTCTGGGGATGGTAACCCTTAGAAGACCCTTAGTTACTTCTCTTACTTTTTTGGTGCATGTGGGGTAGGCCTCAACCAAACCCAAAAATGTGCAACTGAATACCAGAAGAAATTTGTATCCTTCAATGGCTCTTATTTTGGTAAAGTCTACCTCCTAATCTTTGAATGGTGCCTGACCATAGCAGTTAGATTCCCATGGGCTCAGTGGAGCCTTGTTTGGTGTTATTTTGAGTGCAGAGAAGGCAGCATTGAGAGATCAAAGCACAGAGGGACAGGAGTCAAGCAATTACATAGTAACAGCTCAATAAGGTTTCAAGGGCAGTTTTTCCTTGGTGGGTGAGCTCGTGCTGTTGGAGAACCAGCTGGTGGGCTAGCTGCTCCAGTACATAGAATCTTTGGTCTGGAAGTACCCACCATCCTTCTTTTGTCTGGTTTCACTTTTCCTGTTGTGCCCATTTTGTTTCTTAGGTTGTGTACCTTGGGGAAGTTGGCAATTCTGGGGCCAGCATGATTTCTGAGGGTGTTGTTTGTTTTCCTGCTGTTTGTTTATCTGTGGTGTCTGCCCATTGGTTACCAACACAGAGTCTTTTCCTCTTTGGTGTCCCTTGCAGTGGATGACTGTTACCTCACTCGGTTCCCAGACTGCCCTTAATAGTTTTAGGATTTCTTCCCCATTTTTTGTTTCTTTCCTCCTGCGATAAAAAGCCCTCCCTTTTTGTATAGAGCCCCAATGTATATGTAGAGTGGTGAAGGCATAGTGCGAGTCAGTGTATATGTTGGCCCTTTTGTCTTTACTGAGCTATAGTGCTCTCATTAGGGCTCACAATTCCACTTTTGGGTGGACCATCCTTGTGGAAGGGCCTTTACTTCTATTACCTCAAAATCAGAGACTATTGCATAACTGACATATGTCTTGCCTTCCTTTATGAAGCTGCTGCCATTGGTGTACAGGATGAGGTTTGGATTTTGTAAGAACCTGTCTGATAGGTCAGGTCAACTAGAATAGACTTCATCAAGTACCTCTACACAATCATGCTCTGGGGTGCCCTGGCTCTGCGGGCAAGAAAGTGGCAGAGTTTAGGGTTTTTATGGCTTCCAATCTTATTCGTGGGTTTTCACACAGTCACCCCTGATATTGTGTCATCTGAGCATGAAATTAGCCAGTGTTGCTCTCTGGCATCCATCAAGGTAATAACAGAATGGCGAATCAACATTTAGGCTTTGCCCCAATGTTATTTTGTCTGCTTCCTTGATAAAAAGTGTGGTGGTTGCCAAGGCCCTCAAACAGGAGGGCCTCTTGCAGCAACTGAGTCAATCTGCTTTAAAAGGTATGCCACTGGTCTCTGCCAAGGTCCAATTCCTGGATAAGAAAATTCAGGGCCACCCCATTGCTCTCATGTATAAACAGGTTGAAATCTCATGATACATCTGGGAGTCCCAAGGCCAGTGTCTCTGTGAGTTTTGTCTTTAGAATTTCGAACGCCTTTTCTCAATTAGGGCCCCAAAAAATGGGTGCCTTTTCTTCCCCCTTTAGTGCCTCATATAGAGGCCTGGCCAACTGCAAGAACCCTGGGATCCATATATGACAGAACCCTGCTGTTCCCTGAAACTCTCAGACCTGCTGGTGGGTAATGGGAACAAGCACAGACTGTCAGTTTCCTTTCGGTTCCCAGCATATTTATCTTTGGTAACTTTGAAGCCCAAATATTTAACTTTCTGTTGGCAAATCTGTGCCTCTTTCTTTCAAACCCAGGCCTGCATGGGACTGGCTAGCATGAAATCGTTCACATATTAGAGAAGGACACATCTTAGGTTCTATCCCAGAAACCTGGCTAAGTCAGATGCCAACGCCTCACTGAATAAGGTTGGTGAATTTTTTAATCCTTGCAGCAGTCTAGTCCAAGCGAATTGTTCCTATGCCCCTGTTGTAGGGTTTTCCCATTCAAAGGCAAATAGGGGTTGACTATTAGGCACTAGCTGGAGACAGAAGAAAGTGTCCTTTAAATCCAGACAAGCGAACCATCCTGCTTCCAAAGGTATGAGTCCTAGTAGAGCGTATGGGTTAGGCAACACTGAATGCTACATGATGACTGCTTCATTAATGGCTCTTAGGTCCTGCACAAGGCAGTAATCATCTGTCCCAGGGTTTTTCACAGGCATTGGGAGTATTCCCTGGAGACTGGCATCATTTTA